CTGTCTGCTCTTACATTACTCAGTCTTTTGGACGAGTTGTCACACACATAGAAGGGTTATCCTTTATCCGCCAATATCCGCTACTCCTGTTCTTATGTTGAGTTGCGTCACTTTCCAAAATGGGTTCATGTGAACTCGTCCCGTACTGCGCGTACCATCTAAGGGCATCTACGGAGACTGCACTCTGTGACTAAACGCTTTGAATTGTCCTCATCGTAAAAGCGCAGCCGCGAACGTTCCACCCATTTCTCGGCCCACCATACATGACGGACGAGACCAACGAATCCAATTTCTTCTTCTATCGAGGCTCTTTGCAAGCCTATGGTCGCCTAGGAACGCTGTTCTAGTGCGATTTTCGACCCTTGTACTTATATTTACTGGTTGTCCACACGCTCACTTTCACCATCGGTACGACTAGACGTCCATGGCACTGCAATGTCAGATCATCGTCAAATCCGCGTAATGGCATCTCGTTTTTTCTAATTAAATTTCTTCACCAGTCTGGAATTCTATGGCTGCTTTCATAGTTCCAATTAATTCTTCGAGAACTAATTTTTGGTCTAATTTGGTCGTGTCTGATGACCTTTCGTCCGCTAACCTTCTTTGAAGGTCAGGTATCTCCAAGTTTCAAATACATGATGTAAAATGTCTTTAAGGGATTAGAAGTGCCTACCTCATCACTTTTCGCTACAGTTTCAAAAATTCTCCTGCTAAGTTTACTGATTTCTCGCTGACCTTTTTATATAGCTTTTCTGTGAATGTGTTAGGGTTCACTTACCCCGTCCAATACAGTTTCCATCTCAATAACTTGGGGGCTCCAAACTAATCAAGTTTGAGGAGAATTTTCCGTCTAATTCAGCTAACTGCTATGATTTTAACTATCTGCAGATTCCAGAGATGGCTTACGTCATAGCCTTATCGGTACTTCTAAGAGTCCCAAAGTTTTAATCTCAGTAATATCTCCTAATATCTTAATACGGATCAAGCCAATACTTTTGTGTTGCATACTAACCGGTCTTTAAAAGTTCAATTGAATTAGTAATTCATATCCCCCCACCTGCTTTGTGCTCGTTCACGTATCGCGCTTTAAAGCTCTGTTGTCAATCGCAATCAACACATCTCCGTGCTCTCTGCTCAACTGCTGCTGCTGCTGGTTCTGCTCGTATTTTTGTTTACTATTTACCATTTATGGGGTGTCTCGTCGTCTCAGAGAGGGGAAATGCCATTGCCGGCTATGCGTCCTTCTTAGTCGTATAGCTGTTGTTGTTGTTGTTGTTATTTTTGGTGTGCTTTAATTAGAACTACCCACCACCCTTCCAGTTCGATTCCTTAACGATTCTTGCTTGTTATTCGCACATATATGTCTAGATGGAGCGTGTTATCTTCTAATTCTTTTCTTTCCTGCTTACTATACATTTTTCCTATTCTCAAATATGAGAGAAGTGCGAAAATTTGCAACATAATGGAAAAGAGATCGGCGCGGGTTTAAAATTGAGCGGATTGGTCTCCTCGAAGCCGGCTCGAGGTCCAAAGCCCTTCTGCTGGTTTCGCATGTAGTGTATGTGAGTGCGTGAATGCGTCACATATATTTCCACCCTATCTCGCTCTCTGCTTCCATCCATGAAGAACACGCTATTCGCGTCAATCTTCCTCACCATCTGCCGCCCTCCACGATTTAACGTTTGCTTGACCGATCAATCCCCCGTCGCCACACTTCGCTGGTCCTCGTTCGCCTTCTCTCTATATGCCGCGAGCCCCCCCGCTCACAGCTGATTCCCCTATCCCTATGACTGCTGCTGCTGACCACCTCATGGTTATCCAGCCGGCCAGTCCGCTCCTGCTGCTGCAGTGTTCGACCAGCTCCCGAACAGCCAACGAGTCACATCAATTTATTGAGTCACATGTGCTGCTTGGACTACCAGGCTCTTGTTCCTATATATGGCCATAATAGACGATTGCACTTACACTCCTGTTCGAAAATAATCTAACCTCTGATCGAGCTTCGCGCTCATATGCAATTTTTAAATCGAATATTCGAATTTGCCCCTCACAATGGCGCTGAAGCCATGAAATGAGTACTAATATAAACATTGTCACCTAACTAAGAGGTGTCGAGAATTACATACCATGCAAATTTGAAGATTCTAAAGTAGTTGTAGATCAAAGATTTTATAAAATTCAGTTTTACTGGAGGTGTCGCTAACCGCTATGTTTCACCTTAGATATACAATGAGTTGCTTGGTAGATTTCCTAATCACAAAATCGAGAAATAAAATGTTCAATTAAATATTTTTCTTTGCTTCTTTTCTTCATATATTCATAAAAGTAAGTCCTTAAAAAACAATATGACATTTGAAACAATTGGTTTTAAAGTTGAAGCCTTATAGTAGGTTCCTAGGGAGTT